CAAACAATTACAGGAAGCGATCACGAGGCGGCTTTTGTTGACATCAAGATAAAGCCACACAGAAACCCAGAAGAAATTGCATCAAGTGAGACACATTTAGCAGTGCGAAGAATGTGGTTACTTGACCAGACAAAAGAGGAGGATTGGCAGAATTATAGAGCAACATTGTGGAAGCTCGTAGATAGCAAAATTCCGTCCTTTCTAAAGGAACCCCCTAAATTAGTGATAAAATAAAATCTTTAGATTTATTATCTCTAATATTCCAATATTATAATATAAATTAGATAACTATATAGTATAGTCATGCTAAAAACCAGAAATGTAAAGTATATAAATAATAAATATTTTTGAATGCAGAATACCTATATATTTAATTCTTATCATTATATATTCAATATTTACATAATTAAACCTGCTTGATAAGGACAAAAACCATTTTAGATCAAATCTATATTAAGATATATAGTGTGAAATCTACAAAATAAACAAGTTTAAATACTTGCTAATAATAAGTTTTCTTTTTTTTTTTTTTTTTGTTAAGGTGATCTCTATAGCTGGGGGCTTTTTATTAGATAATTAACAATATTTACAATTATGATAAGGATACAACTAGCCATATACACAACTTTTGGTTATCTATTTAAGTAGTCTGCCCAAGTTCTACACTAGCCGCCATATCTGCAATCTAACTAGAAGATTATTTATTTAAGCTCTCTGATTATTACTAATAAGAATACGATTAGCCATATATACAACTTTTGGTTACCTATTTAAATAGTCTGCTCTAAATTTCACACTAGCTGCTATACCTGCACCCTAACTATAGGAATACCCATTTAAATCCCCTGGCTTCATTTTTGTAATACACATACCCTAATACTCTTATTAAGATTAGCAATGCTGTAGAATGACCCTAAAACTTTGACCACATGGGCATTTATCCTTGTAGTAAATCTAACAGAATAATACATGTCCCACATATGCTTACCTGCATGTTCAGTAACTTTTTCTCAACTAGTACCTGTTGTGCTGCTGCTACTAGTTCATATCTTAAGCTATCTTTTTAGATACTGCTATAGCCCAATCTGTATTTCAAGCTACAACCTTTCTAATTAGTTTCTATTTATATACTCTTGCCCTTGCAAGGTTCACAACAATCTCAATACTTATATTCTAACTTTTTTCTTTTCCAGATTCATTACTAGTCTCTCCCTTACTTCCAGTTAACAACCTGAAAGGGTTGGTCTGCTCAGGCTCTAAGTGCCTTATAGTCTCCCTCCTTTTGATATATGCTTTCAAAGCACAAGTTCTTTTTCTCTGGTGGCAAGCTGGCGATTTGGCTAGTGTGTTCCCCCACCTATAAACCTGGTCACTCAGTTCTCTGATCTTGGTCTCTGGTTCCAAATCTAGTCTTTCTATAGCACCATTGAAGATTACTACTACTTCTCAACTCAAGGCTTGCCAAACGGGTTTTTAGTTATTCTAGTTTCTTAGATTTATGTGCCAAAGCTCTCATTCTAGATAGTATAACCAAGATTACAGATTAGAATCTAACCAATTATGATAGCTGTTAACTGTATTACAGGGCTAATTTTCAAAAATATTGTTTGTGGGATTCGAACTCTAGACCTACCATCTGGAGTGCAACAACTCTACTACTTCACTAAGTTGTCATACTTTTATATTGTAATATTTTTAAAATTAATTGTATTAAACTATTTTACTTTAGACATAAGTATGTTTGGATGAATTTCTTTTAATAAATTTGATAATGTTTAAGAAATTAAAGAGGAAAATTGGTTTATGTTTAATTGGTGATCCATTAGTTAATTAGAGAATTATTATAGTAAAATATTTAGATCTTCTAAATATGGGGTGCATGTATCTAAAACCTTTTTTTATACTAAGTTAATCACTCTTCTGGCTTAAGAAACTTTTGTAGAGCCTATTAAGATGCATCAAATAGTAGGTAGAGTAGGTAGAGTGTCAAAATTGGCCTTGTGGATGCCAAGATATCTTTAAAAAACCTTTTTTTCACTATGTAAATTTCTTTGCAAACAATATATCTTAAATGCTAGTTTAAATGTAAATCATGAATGAATAAAGAACCTATTTATTGTTTTAAAAAAAAAATAAATTAAAATAAATATATAAACTTTTTATTAAGTTTTTAAATAATACTAAAAACCTAACTTTGAACTTATTTCAAAATTTTGAAATATAAAACTACTTACTAAGCATTTTCTTATATTTAAGTTTTGAGTATTGTAATCTATTTTAATTTATTATTATAAAATTACTATTACTTCCAAGCTTTTTCTCAAATAAGTTACACTTTTGTAAGTTAATTGTTTCAATGCTTATATATTACACATTACTATTTTTCTAGCCTAAATAAGTTTCTAAGTGAAGTTTATCTTAATAGTAAATAGGGTCTTTGCCTTAAAAATCATGTTATAGAATATATAATTTACTATGTCTCATAATGTGATTTTCAAGGCAAAGACCTCAAATTTCAGAGATACTCAAGATACCTAAGGCTTCATTTGTAAAGAGTATTATATAAACAATAGTACATTAAATGTTAAAAATTTACTAAGAAATACTCTAAACTATATAAAATTTAATTGTATAAATTGACTAATTATGAAAAAGTTACTCTATAGAGTTATTTATTACTGTATTATTATGTAGAAACAAATAAGTTATAAAAGAACTGACACTTATCAGCTGATTATACCCCCTTCTCTATAATACCCTACTAGGAACCCTCTTTTTGTACCCCAAAATTTAAATCTCTAAACTATTTATAGAACAATTACAAGTTTTAATCAATAATATAATAATAAGTTTTAATGTAATCAATTAATCCTTGCATATTTTTATGTACTCCTTGTATAATTATGCAGGTTTATGCATAAAATATACATAAATCTGCATAATTATACAAGGGGTGTATAAAAATATACAAGGGTTAATTGATTACATTAAAATTTATTATTATATTACAGTCAGGGAATTTGTCTAAAATAGACAGTGTAGATCGCACCTTGTATGGTATAGAAATATCAATCACATGATTTTAGATTATTTGGTTACACAAAAATCATGTGCAATTGACCAATCAAATTTAACTACAACAAAATTTGCTTATTAATTAAAAGAAGTTAGTTTTCATTTACTTTTTTTATAATTGTTTATTTCAAGAGATCAAATGTGATTATTTAAAGTAAATATCTTATATTAGCTATTTGTATATTGTTTAATATCAAATAAATAAATAAAATATCAAATGATCCCATGGTGATAAAAAATATTACATGGCCAATCAAATTTACAGAATAATACAAAGATCATTCTAGAATGTGATTTACTAATTTAGTAAAATCCCTGACTATGTTATTAATTACTTTAAAACTTGTAATTGTTCTATAAATAGTTTAGGAACTTAAATTTTGGAGTACAAAAAGAGAGTCCCTAGTAGGGTATTACAGGTGAAAGGGTATAATTAGCTGATAAGTGTCAGTTTTCTAATACACTATTATTTCTAAAATTTCTGGATACCAGATTCCAAGACAGGGTATAAAATACTTATTGATTTATCAGCCTTTTACTGTGCTGACGCTTATTGTTTAAAGTATTGCTTTTGATACACTAATTGAACTTGGTATATTGTGAATCAAAAATGATATTTTTGGAGTGGCCGGTAAATCAATAGGTATTTTATACCCACTCCAAGATCTGGATTTGTTGTTTTAATAAAAAAAAACAACTTTAACAGGTTGTATCTTTTGATACAAATAATTTGTTAACTCGCCTATTGTGCATTGCAAGTATAGAAATACTATATATTATTAAAGTAAACTAACTCTGAGACAGATTATTTACAACGTAAACTTGAATATGTGAAGATACTTCGCTTTAATTGTATTATACTCGTGGTTGTGTGACAATGCATAACATTTTTATTGGTAAATGTATATTTATATCTACTGCACTATATTAAACAAATAAATATGGCAGATTAAAATAAAATTGGATTAAAATATAGTTAGAGATTTTACTATATTTTGTAATTGACAATTACACCTTATTTGGTAATAATCATCAATCAGATTATTCTAGGTTCTTTTTCTGGATTGTTCTATATATACAATAATTGGCTAATTAAACTAAGAGTCTATATTAATTAGTTTCTTACTTAAAAATGCCAAAATGCTTCTTTAATTCTTTGCGTAATTTATTTTACCTTACTCTAGTACTCGCTTTTTTTTATTACACACATGGTGATATAAATTGGGTTTGCGCAGTAGGTACAGCATACATAGATTTAAATTTGCGCTCTCCGTATATAGCATGCTTATAAAGTTTTTTTTTTTGTGCATATTTTTTTGCATTTGTGCCAATAAAATTTCTTGAATTTATAACACTGGCTACAATATTTTAACTAGTGTAGATTAAAAACAAATGGATTAGCAAAGACACATTGTGAAAGAGCGGCAACTTCGTATCTTGTAGTGTGAAGCATTAACTTTGTATATGCAGATGCACTTACAAGAATATTACACTAAAAGGTTTGAGTTTTAAATTTACTGAAAGCTTTAGCCTCAGAAAACATTTGCTTATTCTAATAAATTGAAACATTAATATCTTGTCATCCAATCCTAGCTAATATGGTTTAGATTGTTCACACCCAAATTCCAAACTCTGGTCTCAGAATTTTATTTATAATCTTTTTTAACATATTTTCATAGATCACAAATTTAATTTATTAGTTCTTGTAACATGAAACTTTTAAATAGATCCAGCCGGCCGGCCAGCTTTTTTTTTTTAATTTATTTTTTATTGGGGTTTTAGATTTGTTTAAAATTTTCCAGCATGTATAAGTGTCAATGTTCTTAATAAATTCGATGTAATTTTCATAAAAATTATAAGATTAAAATAGTTAAAAGTACCAAAATAATATCATGCAATACTGCAATAAATAAATATTCGATGCGATCAAATTTAACGATTTTTTAACACATATATTTCTATTTATAAAATCTCATTAAAATAAATACTAAGATATATATATATAACAATCAATTTATTATAATTATGTTTTTTTGAATACTTAAATTTTTAATACAATTGTATTATTTTACACTTTTGATAATAGCATTAATTTTTATTTTAAAGTGCTTAAAATAACCTTGATTATTTTATGTTTTTAGCACAATTGCTATTATCAA